GATATAATATTTATATGATGGTGGACAAATTATTTGGTCCAAAGAAATGATATAGAGTTGACCGATTGATCAAAAGGCCAAAATACCGGTATTGGTAATTTAACAGATAAAAACCCGAAATGAATTTCGGGAACTTATAAATTAAAGTTGGGGGATGTATATTCATTATAAGGGTCATAATGATTGGAAACACACTATATATTTTATTTGACCTGATAAAATAAAATATATCTAAAACAGTCCGAAAAATACAACTTTCGGGACCGATTGTACACATTGGGACACAAAGGGATGACCTCCCACATGAGTGGGGGCCACCCCACGTTTTTGTGTGCTAGAGTAGACAAGAGAGAGCTGGGTTGACAAGAGAATGAGTGGAGGAGGTGCAAAGGGACCCTTTGACCTCACTCATTTGCCAAATGAGACAAGGAGGAACCCCTACCCCCCTTTCCCTTGCATTATTCGGCCAAACCATCAAGTGAGGAGGAAGAGAAAGCCCTCAAGCCATACTCCATTGCTGCTGCACGAGCTCAAGAAGGGGTAGTCCAAAGAAGGTGGTTTGAGAAGGAAAAAGCTAGGAAAAAGTGAGAAAAGTTGAGGTAATGGCCTTATCATAACTTTTCCTTTATTTTTCTTCTACCATATGAGATATATATCATATGAAGGACCCTTAGGATTGTTCTACATGTTATGAGTGTGGAATAATGGGTTGAAAGTTGGTTCTATGTCCAAAAACGGATTTAGAAGCCAAACCGACAAGTTCACCGGAAAATGACCTTTTAGAGGTTATTTGTATTGATTAAGGGTTTATGATGTTAAAACCTTGTTAGGAACTTGATTAAAGTATTTTTGAGCTTCGCCGGAGTTTCGCCGGAGTTGGTCAAAGTTCGCCGGAGTTGGTCAAAGTTCACCGGAGTTAGTCAAAGCTCAATCGGGGAGCGTAGAACGCGCTTAAGCTCACTTAAGGTGAGGATGACTGACTATATTGCTTATAATCTTTGGGTTAATTTCATGAGATTCCCTAAATGAATATACAATGTGATTTGCATGGATTATTAATGGTTAGTAATGCCTAAATGAAATTACTATTGATTATAAGTATAGTTTGCATAATATACAAATTTATTGAATAAATTGTGTATGTCTAAATGTTATGAATATGATGACATGATAGTAGTATCAACCATAAATCCCATTTGTGATAAGTATACTTTTATTTCATGAGAAGAAGCCATGAAGGAATAAAAGTGATATTTGATATTGAGGCCAAATTACATATTGAATGAAGAATTACATTGAAATGAGTAAATAACTAGTATTGAAATATTAGTTGGATTTGTAGTTGAATAATGGATGAATGGATCCTAAGAAATTGAATTGTAAAGAATCGGTGATTATTGAGCTGGGCTCTAGACCGATGTAGATAACGGTGATTATTGAGCTGGGCTCTAGACCGTAGTAGTTATCGGTGATTATTGAGCTGGGCTCTAGACCGATGTAGATAACGGTGATTATTGAGCTGGGCTCTAGACCGTAGTAGTTATCGGTGATTATTGAGCTGGGCTCTAGACCGATGTAGATGACGGTGATTATTGAGCTGGGCTCTAGACCGTAGTAGGTAACGGTGATTATTGAGCTGGGCTCTAGACCGTGGTAAGTAATGATAAATTTACACTAAACGAATAAAGTTAACCATGATACAATAACACCCTAGATTGAGGGTCTTGGAAATTGAAACTTTGATTATACTTAGTATAGTTGTCATTGTACTTGTCAAATGCTTCCAAGTACTGACCTCCCCTTCACGGGGGAGGCCACCTCACAGTTTCAGGTAGAACTTGAAGGTTGCTGCCATTGCCCGCTTGTTTCGGGAAGATCAAGGAGAGAAGACGTGGTTCGTGCTTCCTCCGTTCCTGTTTTAAAAACATTTAAATTGATGCTCATGGATATTATATTTTTGAATAATTATTTGGGGGCTTGTATGCCCATGTTTGCCAAGCGTGGCATGAATACTTGTATCAAATGTTTCCGCTGCTTGAATGAATGTTTTACATTATGTTTGTTTATGGATGTACTATGTGTGAATGATATCTCAGACGCCTTGTATAGTATGGATGTGTTGGACTGTGGTTGACTATTCGTACTGTACGGCGGATTGTTGACGTGTCCGGATAGGTCCGGGGCGTGACAGGGGATGTTTCCTTCTTTATCAAAGGCCAATAATAAGGCAAAGGTACAAATATACCCTTGTAGTATGGGTGTGAGAACAAATATACCCCTGTTCTATTTTTCGGAACAAATATACCCCTGAAGTATTTGTGAAAGTGCATATATACCCTTGAACTTTTTTAAAGGTACAAATATACCCCTCATATTCTTATAAAGGAGCAAATATACCTTTATTGACTTAAAAAAACACCAAACATAAATTATAAATTCAAAATTAAAAATAAAAATTTTAAAAATGTACTTGTGTCCAATTCTCCCTTTTATTGTTTGTAAATCACATTTAAATATTGTTATTAAAAAATGTTATTTCAAAACATTACTATATATTTAAGATTTTTTCAAAAAAAGTGTTAACTTATGTGTTCCAATACATTTTTTTTTGCGTTCTTTGCACTATAAAAATACATATTTTGTATGATGATAAATAGTTCAAGATTACAAAATAGTGAATTTAATTTTATTAAGTTTAAACAAAATCAAAGAATGTTATTTAAAAAAATATAACAATGTATTCAAAATTTCATAACAAGACTAAAAGTAATACTAGTATTAATGATTTAGCTTCATTTACAACGGAAAAATAAAAATTTTGAAATTTAAAATTAAAGAATTAATATTTTAACATAATACTCCGTAATAAATCTTTATTTTTAAATTTCGAATTTATATTTTATTTTTGGTGTTTTTTGAAATTTATTTTATCTATTTACAGTCAATAAAGGTAAATTTGCGTCTTTATAAGAACATGAGTGGTATTTTTGCACTTTTTAAAAGTTCAGGGGTATATATGCACTTCAACATATACTTCGGGGGTATATTTGTTCCAAAAAATAGAATAAGGGTATATTTGTTCTCCCACCCATAGTGCATGGGTATATTTGTACCTTCTCCCTAAGGCAAATGATATGACATGGGGGTGTGGTTTTGTCTTGAGCCACCCCTCTCCTCATAGGTCCGCCCCTAACCTTATTTACTTGTCCCCTCCCAATAATTTTGGGAGTTATTTGACTGGTAGAGTATCTTAAGTGGGTGTAGGAAATTCCCGCCAATTATTCCTGCTATTTTCGGTAGGTTGGGCCAAAATAGCACTCGGGTTCTTCAAACATTTTTATCAACCTTAGTTGACGTTCCATTGGGCTTCTAAAATTATTACGATAACCCAACTAAATATTTGGTAGCTCATTCTCATTATTATGGGTTTGATAAATAATTTAATTAATCGCACATTAATTAAATATGCCAATCAATTACACGAATTTTATTCGCTAGAAAATTCAAATACATATCAACTTTCAAATTCAAGTACATACAGGCACGGTGTCACAAAAACCCCAAGACCACGAAGGGCTCCCGTTGTCCTTCCTTGCCATACAACTTCCTTAGAACTCTTCAAGTCCCAAATTACTTTCTGGCACGGAGGTGGTTCCGAAGAAGGACGAGCTGCTGCCTGCTGCAATATGGGTGAAGACAAACTCCCTCTTCCAAATTCCTTTTTTGATTAAGAAAATTTCGACCTCTGCACCAGCGACCACATCTTCACTCACCAAACCCTTCTCTTCATCCTCCATAGTCAACTACTCCTCGATCTTTTCCATTGAAATCACTACGGTTGGACAAACTGTCGGCTGCAGGCATTAAACCCCATCTGAAAAACAAACCCTAGAAAAATCCTATGGAACAACCACCACTCAAAGGTACAATTCTCGGGCCACTAAGTGAGAAGTTTTTTTTATCATAAAAGAACGACCGCTATATTAAAATCGAATACACATGCAAGACAACCTTCAGACAGAAATTACAGATCCAATCGTGAACCCTAGGAGTAGACTTAGAGTCAGCTACCTCATACAAAGCAACATGACTCGCTAAACCTGAAACGAGCAAATTTAGGCCTAAAATGATCAAAACCAAAACCATGTCTATGAAAAGAATTCCAAAAAATCAAACATTCAAACCAAACCTACTCGGACAAAAACAAAAACAATTACTGCTAAAAAGAAAATAATACTGAAATAGAATCTTTCTACAAAGCTCTTCCTAGTATGGAGGTGGTTCCAGAGGAGGACGAACTCTTGCAATATGGGTGAATACCAACTTCGCCACCGTCGGAATGACCGGCCAAGGCTTCACGATCCAGTCTCGATACAACCTCCCGGCCGCACCTCGTTCATCCGCCTAGCGCTATCTCCTCCGACATAGTTGCAATCCAAAACATTAGAACATTTAAAATTAGTATAATTTTCCGCTCCAACCCCATATTGATAGGGGCAGTGGAAAATCTTAACCCTTACAAAGAGGGAAGACAACCGCTAGGGTTCCTCTTTCTCTAGAGAGAAGAGATGTTACGTTTTTTTTGTGTATCTCAAATTACTTTAAAAAGAAGTTTTGGCTGTTTTAAGTGAGAAGTTGAAAAACACTTTTTTTTAATCTCTTGCAAACACATCCTAATTGAATTTGAAGAATATGATCATAATACTTGAATAAATAAATTCCTTTGAAAGCCCTCAGACCTGGTTGGTCAAAATGGATATTCCCTCACAAGTCACAATAAGGCTTTGTTTACAAACAATTAATTTAAGTGTTTTTGGTTTTTTTTTTTAAGAAAAAAACACTTATTTTACCCAACAATACCAACTTTTACTTTCCCAGTTTTCGTGTAGAAAATACTTTTTACTTTTTCTATTACACAAAAAGCATTTATTTTACCAAACACCATCAACTTTTAATACTAATCACTTTTTTCCACAATAATGCGTAAACACTCACCCCAACAATAATGGAGGGTAAACTAAAATTTCCCGCCCCAATTATTATACGGAGTAGTAGATTTGTAGACACTGACGGAATGTGGAACATGAGGCTCGGGTTTACCTCCCGCTCAGTTCTTGTTTGCCGAGCCTATTAATCTGGGGAGGTTATTACCGGTATAAGCTATCGTTAGGTGTTTCTAAGTCGAATTCATGGCGGATCCTAGGGTTTTCGGCAACCCAAAACCCATTCAAGCCGGCATCATTTCCAAAATCCGATTAGAGAACTTCATGTGCCACAACAATCTCGAAATTGACTTCGGAGATAGCGTCAATTTTATCACTGGCCAGAACGGCAGTAAGTTATCTCTTATCGTAGCTCTCAAAGCTCCCCGTTTATATACAGTTGTGGTAACAATTTTTCTGGGGTCAATTCGTGCGGCCTGTTTCAGTCAGAAGCATGGCTGTTTATTTACTTGTTACTGATAATTGACTGATTTAGGCGGGAAAAGTGCAATACTGACTGCGTTATGTTTGGCATTTGGGAGCCGTGCTAGAGGCACACAAAGGGCAAATACAATGAAGGACTTCATTAAGACGGGATGCAGGTTTATTATTAACTGTCTCCATCTCTTTATCAGCATTAATCCTTATTATATGTTTGTTGACTTATATGCCAAGTTGCTAACATTTCTCAATCATATTGTTGGGGCAGGCGGAGGGGACCACCTTTTCTTAATTCGATCATTCTTCTCTTAAGGGTTTAATTAGGGACTATTGTTTCATGTTTGGTACGCTTTCGGCTTGGTTTGATTTAGAACAGGCTGATTAAATAGTTGCTGAGTTTAAACCAACCTAAGTTTGGCTTTGTTGGTTCATTTGTGGTTCAGTATTGATTTATTTTCTTAATGTATTTATTTTGTTTTTTGGTTTAATCTGTTTCAGCTAGGTTAAGATTATTACGTTTTGGGTAAACTGTTGCCAAACATAAAGTCTAAAACTGAGTTGCATATAGTTTAACTTGTTTTCGAATTAAATGGTAGGTTTGGTGACTGTGAAACTGAGCCTAAATGCCCACACCTATGAGTAGGGCTCGGTCTAGTAGATGTAACTTTTTGGACAGAGTTTTAATAGAACAATAAATATTTGAACAGTTCGTTAATCATTATCAAAACTTAGCTCTTACGTATTGTTTGTAATTTAATTTGGATTATTGATATTTCCACTATTTAATGTAGTATGACCATATGAGTTACATTGTAACACAACTTAAATCTTCACTTAAGAGCTAACTGAGTTTTGTGATATCAATCAAACCCATACTTATAATTCAGGATATGAGCAAAGTTCAAATGTAAATACCTAATCATAATTATTCATAGTTGCTAGTGTTCCTTCACAAATAAGCTTGTGTCTTTTTTCAGTACAAAACATGATTTTGGACTATCGTTGGTGAAGAAACTCATGAGTTGTTTGATGAAGTTTTTATGAGGATTTGGCTCTTGTTGAGGTCTTAATTCTGACTAAAGTGTTCAAAGAGGCAATGGTTAAGAAACACAGTCAAGCATTAAAAACACATGTCGCAAACTCTTGCGATCAACAATCAGTTAACATGAAGTGTAGGCATGCGCTTTAAGACAATTACCGATATTGCTCTACTCTACTCCACCCAGGATCGCTGGGCTCCGATTTCCTCCTCTTCACGCCTTCAACTTATGCCTTACTGGTTATGCCACTTGTTTTTATTTAAACATAATATATTTTTAATTTTTTATTTCATCATGCATCTTATGATTCATAATAATATCAGAAAATTTGTGAAACATAAGTACACAACATATTTTCCCAAATAAAAGTTACATTGTTTTCTTCCTAAAATACGAATAATTCCCTCCTATTTTGGGAAGTTTCTATTGTTGTATTCTTTTAATTGGACTAAATAACTCCTATATTGGGAATAAACATACTTAGTCGGTTAGTCATATTTCTAAACTTTGTCTCTGTTTTACTCCTGTTTAAAGTTTTTTTTATAAGATACGGTTCACTCTTCGTATCTCAGTATGGTAATCTTGGTCAAGATGACTGTCTCATTCTGGTTTGCAATACAGAAACACGGTCTTTGTTTACTATTGTTTGCCGTTGAAATATACTAGAACGTGGACACTGATGATGCCCCTTACCAAGTTAACATCATTTGCAATCAAGTTATTTTTGTTCCACATCTCCATCGTTATGTTATTGTATGAAACTATGGTAGCCATCAATCCAATATCATCTTCTTTTTAGCACATCATCAAGAAATAGAGAAATTTCATTACACATAATTAATTATAGATGCCATGTTAGCTTTTTTACCAGTGGTAATCTACGAAATGGAGAAATGCACATATTTTGATTGTTTCAGGTTTAAATGACACTTTTTTGCATTTGATGTCCCAATTTTTAATTCCTGACTCTTTGAGGTTACTCATGTGACTATTTTCCAATTCTGTATAATTTAAACAAATTAACTATTACCCGAAAACGCTTCCGTTATGCAGTCTGCCAAAAAACATATCATCATGATCTTTTATAACATGAGCTTGTGTCAATAAATCTATTTAAAGAAGTTATGACCGGGAAGCACTTTGGTAAACTGATTGGGTTTTTAAATTAGCTTTTAATCTCATAGTGAGTGTTTGAGCTGTTCTTTCAACCATAAGAAACCTTAATCCCTTGAAAACTTTTGCAGTTATGCTCTTATACATGTTGAAATAAAGAACAATGGGGAGGATTCCTTCAAGCCTGAAACTTATGGAGGGGCCATAATTGTAGAGCGGAGGATATCAGAATCGACTAGTTCCATTATTTTAAAGAATCACCAAGGTTTCTTTTCATTTCACTTTGTAGAACTTTAAATTTGCCCATAATTAGATTGGAGATAAAGCCTGGCTTGGGTTAGTATTTGTTATATTATTTAACTATAAGTTTAATTGCACTATTTGTCCCTAAGATATCATAATTGTGAAATTATGCTCCCCTATGTTTCCACCCGCTTATGTGGTCTGACCCGTTTGGTTGAGTTAGTGCCCTCATGACTTCCACATCCAATTGGGGTCAAAGTCAGTGCCACAGATGTTGACACCATTCAAATTTGGACGAATTGTTGATGGAGGGACTCAATTGTAAAAGGGTGGACTATTTAGAAATAAATTTCCGTAATCGAAACTAGAAGTTGAAAATCACACAATCACAATACTTAGGTGACCAAGAGTGAGATAAGCCTTAATTAGTTAATTACAATAATTACATACTCCATTGGGAGTGTCACAATCTTTTGGGACGAAGGCTTGGATTTGATTGCTTGATTGATAGTACTGCCATTGCGTTTTGCCCTTATACTCTGATTTCTTCCTTCCAATTTTCCAAATGAGTGTAAAATATCAATTCTTATTTTTATCTAGGTTTATATTTGAAAAATATTTGTGTCTTTGTGTGTATATATACATATATATGTGTCTATAGAGTTTGGTTCAAATAAAAAGTACTTCCTGGGTGAAAAATAAGAACTAATCTTGGCCATTGATGTGAAAAAAAGGATGGAAGAGATCAATTTTTAGGTTGGAAACGCGGTGGCATATTTGTAATTGTGGAGAACTTTTATTGAAAATATTGTGACAAATGTGCATCAGAATAATCAAAAAGTGCACATGTAGAGCACAAAAGTGCAATACAGCACAAATAAAAAGTGCACAAGCTGGAAGAAATTTAACAATCTTTTTTGACTAGCTGGCTGAGGGCAATTTAATAAATTTCAATTATTCCTTATTTCCTTTTATTTTATTTCGTAATTTATTTTATTTACTAGTATGATTTAATTAGGACTTCTATTCTTATTAGAATTAGAGGTTTTCTATTTCTATTTAGTTTTCTAGAATGATTTAATTAGGACTTCTATTAGAACTAGAGGTTTCCTATTCTATTTAGTTTCCTATTATGATTTAATTAGGATTCCTATTCTTATTAGACCTAGAGGTTTATTTATACCCCTTGTATGCTTCATTCTTGATCATCTTGGAATAAAATTGGTTTTACCCTTTTATCGTTGATTATCTGGGCAATGGTTTACCTCGTTGATTTTTATTTTTCTGTTTTCATCACTTGCATTCTTCTATTTTCTATATCTTCATTCTATATGATTCATCAGGCAAAAAAGTGGCGACTCGAAGGGAGGATCTCTCTGAATTAGTGGACCACTTTAATGTGAGAATGTGGCTTCTGAATGTGTTGTGCCGTATTCTTTTATTTATTTATTTATTTATAATTGATATAAGGATTTGATTTCTACAGATCGATGTTGAAAATCCCTGTGTTATAATGAGTCAGGACAAAAGTAGGGAATTCTTACATTCAGGAAATGATCGAGACAAGTTCAAGGTAGGTAGCTTACCTTGCATTGCCAATGTGGATTTTAGTCTTGTTTTCTTTTTCTTTTCAATTTATTATTCTATATATAGCCGTTTCTTACTCATTTATATTTGTGAACAATATTTTGAATTGGCGTATTTGCTTAACTAAACATTAGGTACATGTTACTAATTAGGAAAGCATAAATGCTATTGATGGAAAATGCGTTCTTGCTAATATCGTATGCAGTTCTTTTTCAAGGCCACCCTTCTTCAACAAGTGGAGGACCTTTTGAAGGGTATTGAGACCCATATAGGCAATGCAGATAGTCTAATTGACGAACTAGAGAAGTCAATTAGCCCAATACTAAAAGAACTTCAGGAACTCCAGGCCAAGATAAAGAGCATGGAGCACATAGAAGAGATATCACTTCAGGTAGAGCTGTTAAAGAAGAAACTAGCTTGGTCGTGGGTCTATAATGTAGACACTCAACTGCAGGAAAAAAGTGAGTTGATAAAGAAGCTAAACGGACGGGTTCCTGTGTGTCAATCCCGAATAGATCAGTGCCTGGTAAATGCTCTACTTGTGATTTAAATAGGTCAGGACAATTTTTTCCTAGTCGTCTCTCTCATCTTTTCTAGTCGTCTCTCTCATCTTTTCTTGTTTTTAGATTTATATTTTAGATTTATAGTCATCTCTCTCATCTTTTCTTGTTTTTTCCCCACCTGGAAAAGACTACTTTTGATTTGACTCTTTTCTCCTAGATCATTCCCATGGGTTTCATTTTAGTTAGTAAATTCTTAACATGTTGCTTTATGTTTTCTATCTAGTATCATGGTTTTATGGAATTATTATGGGATGTCAAATCCCCAATTAGTCTGTAATTAAGGCTCCAACCACTTTTATCTGATTGTCTATGACACTCTGTTCTTTCTAGTTATATTTCAGATGTTTTGCACCATAATTTAATTTATGCAATTTTTTTCTTCCTAAAAAACTCTTTTTAACTTAAAACTAGCTAGAAAGAAACAGGAATTATATAAAATTGAAATAAGACTTCTTCATTATTACTCCCTCCGTCCCATAATGGTTGTCCACTTTCAATTTGGCACGATTATTAATAAAGTGGTTGAAAAGTAAAAGTTGTGGTTGAGATTTGAGTAGAATAAAGTGAATTGATAAGAACCACATATTTCATGCCAAAAAAGGAAACAAGACATTCATTTTGGGACAACCCAAAAAGGAAAGTAGGACAACCAAAATGGGACGGAGGGAGTACTAAGTAATCAATGAAAGCATAATTGTGAAAATAATGAGGTTTGAGTCTTTTTTCGATAATAGATAAAGAAGATGATATATTTGTGAATTTGATCATAGTTAAAAATATATTAACTTGATAATTCTTAAAGCATTATATACATACAAATATATGTTCACACAGTGTCATGCATAAAATGCCATCTAGTACTCAATATTTGAAACAATATAGTTTATTGAAAACTCGATTTGATAATATTCAAATCGGCTGTGATTGTTTAAACTTGAGTTCTGTCTTGAAAAAGATTATCTGATAGCACACACTAATTAACTGTATCATCCTTCATCGAAGTTGGTATACAACAGGCATGCATTATTCATTTTAGAACAGAACTGGTTTATGTAGTTCTTGGAAGACTAATGTTTGTGATGAGCCATGTTCTTTCAAAGAACTGTCCCGTTCCTTGACTCCTTCCCATGAGCCTTATGACATTGAGTCTTGGACTGACGGACATAGTAATATTGGTTTTTGTCAGTTTCCTATAGAAATGACTTTTTTATTTTTTTTCTGTTGCGGGTGTTTATGCATGTGTATCAAAGGTGAAGAATGTGGGTGTGATGCTGGTGGTAATATACACCCTCTGATGGTTCATGGTTATAGTAATGCCGACGTTTAGTATTAGATGTAGGGGTAATGGTGATGGCTTTCTCTCTCTCTCTTTCTTTTCAGTGTTTGCTTTTGGTTGCTATCAAATTACATTTTCATTGCTATCAAATTACATAGCACTAATCAATAGAACAGTACATTTTGGTTGCTATATTTCCAAAATCACTTGGTATGTATTAACATGTGCATTTGCATTTTTTCCCCAAAAGTTCCCTTGGCCATCAAGAACTTCCTAAGAACTACATTTTTTCCACAATCAGTCATTCTCTGGATTTGCTGAGATGACTGATTGTGGCTTGTTAGAATGTTTAAAACGTTTTAACGTGGCACATATTTGTTAGTTTGTCGGTGTATCTTGCCTTTTCCCTTCTGATGCTTTTTTGATCATATTGTGCATTTTATCATCAAACATCAAGATCTATTCCATTTTAATGGGCAGAAAAGGATTGCCGAATTGAATGAGCGAATTGACAAGAAGAAAGCACAAATTGCAGTATTAATGGAGAAGGCATTAGAAGTCAGGATCAAGAAGGATGATCTGAAGCAAAATGTTTCTTCGGTATGTTATGCCCCTAGCCTTTTCTATTTGTGAAGTCAGTATTAGTTTAATAGTTTGTGTGCTAATGTTTGTTGGCAGTTGTGTCATGTGTTCCCCCCTCTGATCTAAACCATGCATAATAGTATTTCCTAGAATGTAACCTTCTTTGCTGTACAACTTAATTAAGAGCTTAAGCTGTAATCTATTAGAGAGGAGACACATTCTGTGTCCTAAAAACATTGATGCAACAAGTTGTTTTCTATATTCATCTGTTTTTTGCTTTATTCTAGTTCAGTTAGTAATGTATACTGCGGCAACCATGATAATCTGGTATTTGGTCTTTATTTTTAGGCTACGAAAGATAAGCTTGGCTTGGAGGAAGATTATGTACTCAAATCCAATTACATTCAGAAATTAGAGAAACGACAGAAGTTATTGCACAAACAAATTCATGAAACTGAAGAGCAACACATTAGAAACACTCAGGTATTTTGCCGCATAAGTCCTTCAGAATTTTTAATCTTCAGTTGTGTTAGAAAATGAAGAGTTTGATTTTCTGTATTAACACCTCTTTATAGTTAGATTATTTTATTGTATCAGCCTCAAATAGTGAAAAACAGAGAGCCATTTGCATTACACAAATGGGCATATATAGGCACCACACAGCTTTTCTTTCTAAGGTCCACATCATACTCCCTCCGTCCCGGAAAGATGTTCTCAGTCTGACCCTCACACATTTTTATGCAAAAGTTAAAATGTTGTCGACTTTCCTAAACTACCCCCACCATTCCCACGTGATGCACAAGTCTAAGAAGACATTTAAGCAAAAAGAAGGAACTTTATTGAGTAAAAAAATCATTGATGGGGTAAAAAAAGGGTAAAAGTACCATGAAGTGATGGTTCTACAATAATGTGTCTACTCCCTTTACTGCCTACATGATTCATGCGTACTAAACACCAAAAGTCCCTCCAATTTTTTGGAGGGTTCATTGTACACATATGGATGAAAATTCAAACTCCCCCCCAAACTCAAAAAATTTACGCTTAAATGGGTACAACAACCTCAACCCTATCATTTACTACCCCATGGATCTTTCTTTGTCTCTCTTTAGAAGCTCAGCCTTCCCTAAATGGCACTGCAGCAGCTACACCTTCTTTAAATGGCCGTGCAGCTAGTCCTTTGTCAAATGGCAGTGCAGGTGGTACTCTAGCTGTACCTGCAACACAAAACATTCAAGGCAGTGAAGGTGCAACAAGCAAGTGGTCTAAACTAAGTAATGCACAAAAAACAGCATGGTAGAAATGCTTTTAGCTAATTTGAACAGAGGAAAACTTCAGAGGGGCATTGTTGGACAAACAGCTCAAGAATTCAACTGTTTAGGTGTACAGTTAACAAAGTGTGGGCCAAAGCTAAAAGCCAACTGAATGATGGGGTGCCTATTAATGTTCAGAGCCAATGTAAGGGAAATGTGGGAAGAAAAAGAGTTGTTTTTGACTTAGAAAAGTTAAAAGACATTCCACTGCATAAAAGAAAGAACATCAGAGCATTGTGATTTTCCCTGAACATGTCCAAGTCTTTTGTGCACAATGGGGCAGTGCTATGGGATGGAAAGATTGGTATCTTTCCATTCACTTATGAGGAAAAAGCAAAGAGAGCTAGTAAGAACGGACCAACAGGCACAATGGAGACAAAAGCCACATTAAGTGTAACTAGAAATGTCATTAAGAACATGATGCTACACAAAGTATTACCAGCAATCAAACAAAAATAGCCAGATGCACAAAACAGGAACATCATCATTTAACAAGACAATGCAAGGCCACATATTGTTGTGAATGATGCAGATTTTGTGGAGTGTGCAACTGAAGATGGGTGGAACATAAAGCTGAGTTTTCAGCCACCACACAGCCCAGACCTTAATGTGTTAGACTGTCAGACTTGGTTTTTTTGTGCAATTGACTCACTGAAGGAACAGAAAGCCCCTAAAACAATTGTTCAATTAACTGAAGCTGTGACAACTGCTTATGATGAGCTAACAACTTACGCGTTTGGTAAGAAAGATAAGGCTAATAAGCTGAAAATGGGGGTTACCAAACGGGCTCTTAGTTGCTTTTTTCTCTTAAATTATCACTCAACCTTTTAACAATTTATTTTTTCCTTTCCTGTGTTTTAGGTTTCAATATAGCTTGAAGCCAACTCTAGATGACACCCTACCCTTGTAGCATGTAGTTTGATTTGCCAAAGTCACCCACTTCTGTTAAATGTATTTAATGTGATAATCTGGTGTAGGCAGAAGAGCTTGAAATGGAGGAAAAGTTAAAAGAGTTAGAAGAGGTGGTGGAGAAAGCTCATTTAGCATTTCAAAGGTTATAAAGCATTTTTGTTAAGAAAGTCTGTGGAACTTGCAATCAATTTTACAAGAGATTGTTGTTTATGCATTAAGTCCGTGTAGATATCAATAACCAATTTTCTATATCAATTCCATGTTTCATAGATTGAGAACTGAAGAGGACACCCTGCAAGAGAATCTGGTACGAGTGAAAGACGAGGTCAATGCTGTTGTCTTCCAGGTATGGCCCTCTTAATTGTTATAATATTTATATTGCATCATCATGATGACCTGCTCATCTTAATGAATAATTCACATATACTCAATGTTTCCCTCCCTAAACAATGAACTGATACTATTTTTTAGATGGAGGAAAGTGCAAAAAAGCTTTCTGGTATTCGTAGTCATATTCGTGAGCTTCAACTCAATAGAAGCAGCAAGGTAAATATGATTTTTCATCAAATTAATTATTGCTCTGAAATTCCAGGCTGGAGAGGATAGTAGTAAGATGCAATTCCATTTACTGAACTGTTATAGTCACATCATCTTGTGCACTGTGCCTTCTTTAGAGTTTTAACTTTTAAGTGTTAAGTTTGTATTTCACAGCTGGAAAGACTCATTGCATGTCCATACTTGGATGTCTCATCATCATTTTCATTTACCCCAGTGCCGCAAAGGGTCCCACCTACGGTGGGGTAAGGGGGGGTCGGATGTACGCAGTCTTACCCCTGTACTAAAGCACAGAGAGACTGTTTCCGGATGACCCATAGTGAATTTCGCGTCCAAAATTGCATGAACTGACTGCTACTTCATAACAAAGAAGCGCAGACAGTTTAGTGAGCCATTTTGCTTTATTCTGTCATATTTTCAAGCCAAAAAATAATGAATCTTTGGCTCCATTGCAAATGATGGAAAGCCATACTTGGATGTCTAATTGACAGAAATTGATGGTATTGATAAATACCTTAAAATGTAGCAATCAATAAATTTTCTTGCCAAATGGGCATTAGAGAAAGCAAGTTTCTCACTCCTACATTGTGTTGTCAATTTCTTGATATACAAATTTAATAACCTTCTATACGGTATATTCTAAATAGGAGAGAACAAGTGGAATATTCCATTTGGTTTAAGGAAACTAGTGCTTATGTATTTTGCTTGTTTTTTATTCTGTTGGGGGTTTCTCTTTACTCCTAGGTTACAGCTTTTGGAGGAGGTAGAGTGATTCGCCTTTTGGAGGTCATAGAAAGAAAGCGCGGTAGGTTCAAGAGACCGCCTATTGGTCCGATTGGTTCTCACGTGGTATGTGACGGAAAATAATTACTGCTCTTTTTCAATTCGTTGATTATGAAATATGAGAAGTATCATCACTTGTGTTTTATACTTGTATTCATTGACTATTACATATGATTCATGGCTTGTACAGTGTTGTAGTTCATGAGAATTGCTGAAGAAAAGAATGTTCATTTTATCATTTGAAAATATAAGTTATACTCCCTCCGTCCCATTAGGAGGTTCCAATTACGGTTTACGATGCTTGACTGACGATAAAGCAATTTAATCCCTGCTCACACTGATTATTTTTAGTAAATAAAATTTACATATTCAGAAACTACATTAAAACCGCTACAAGCCTGATAAAAAAAATGTAAACTTGATAAAAATTTGATATATAAAGTAAAAGATTAAGAATGATTTAAGTTGACCATGTGAATAGTGGACGGGAACCTTGAATGGGACGGAGGGAGTAACATTTTTGTGTGTATTGAAAATCTAATTCAATTTGCTTAGGCATTTTGTTGTGGGTAATTTAGGTTGTGTTGGATGAAATTTGTGAAGTTGTTTGGTTATCTCTCAGTCACACTGAAAGCTCCATACCTTTTCTGTTCCTTGGTTTAGATGTGTCCCAAAATTGAACTGTGCTCTCTCTAATAGTGTAAGATTTTAGATGAGGTAGAGTGAAGATAAAATATTGTATGAAATAGAACGCAGGTCCTAGATTGATTCCTCACTTGCTATATGTCATACAAATACTTTGTGTGGTCCATCAAATAGAATCTAACCGATGTGACCTTGATGTTGATAGTTAAATGACATATCGGATGATTTCCTTCTATAACAACTTAAGCTTCATTTACAAAATCATTATTTATCACATATTCATTTAGAGTAGCAATTTTTCTCCATCCTATGTCGTAGAGAGGATGTCAAGCTGAACTGCAGCTTTCCTCACTGCAAGAGTGCACAGATGTAAGGTTTTGGGTAGATTGGTTTCATAAGTAATGGAAAGGGTTTTATCATTGTAGTGAATTTGTTCATTACATATTACTCTGTATAATTTTGAATAAAGTTTATATATGTGGTATTGTGGTGTTACCATTTTATGCCTCTATAGTGGAGAAAATGACAACTTTCCATTTGTGGGATTAAGTATATGTGTTGGTAGCATTCTCATTCGTACTGTATGTTTAACAAAAAACATGTATTCACCAATGCATTTGTGATGATTGTTTAGTTCTCTTTTTATGGTTATCATACTTCTCTAGTTCAGAAAAAGTACATGATTGAAAAGAGGAAATGACATTGCCTACTATGAGTTTCATATTTAATATAACAATGCATTGTCAATTAGCAATTACTTTGTGTATTACAGACCTTGGTTCATGGAGAGAGGTGGGGGCTTGCTGTAGAAATTGCCATTGGAAGACTTTTAAATTCTTTTATAGTTACAGACCTTAAAGATTCTATTGTTCTAAGGGAATGTGCAAGGGATGCCGGCTATGAATACCTTCAGATTATTATTTATGACTTCTCAATACCAAGGTAGAAATCTGTAGTACAACCATATGTTTATCTGCATTTCAGGTTAACCTTCTGTTTGAGCTATTTCTGAAATCATGTCTTTTCTTATTCTAGGTTAAATATTCCAGGCAATATGCTTCCAGATACTAATCATCCAACTACTATATCTGTATTGCACTGTGATCATCCAACCATTATTAATGTCCTAATTGATATGGTAAAGTTGCTAAATGTCAATCAAGTGGTGAATCACTTTGAATATGGTGCTTTTTGGCATGCATTAATGTTATACTTTCATCTTTTCTTTCCATCCATCCTGAAAGATAAACTTTTAGTCAATGACACTTTGGTACTCGACTTTGAATTTTTCTACTTTTAGTCCTTCAACTATTGTACTAAAGAGACTTTTGGCACCTATATTTGTAAAATTTCATATTTAGTCTTTCGACTTTCATAATAGCAACACTTTTAGTCCAACAATTACTCCCTCTATATCAGTTTATCTGTCCCAATTTCCTTTTTGGGATATTTTGTCTCATTTCCCTTTTTGGAAAGAAACCCACTCAAAAAGCAGCAACAATACCACTACAGTACAAAAAATCTCTTACTTTTTATAAAGTATACAATAATTATCTTAAACTACGTGAAAAAGCAAATGGGAGAGAAAACAAAGGGAGTATAATAGTGACTTCTTTAGTCCTTCACTTACTGTGGCAAATTCAGTGGAAGGAATAAAAATGTCAATTTGATAATACTTAGGGTACTAAATGTGGGAAACTTTGAAGTCGATGACTAAAAGTGTCTCTTGCACAATAGTCGTAGGACTAAAATTAGAAAAATTAAAAGTTGAGTACCAAAAGTGTCACTGACACAACAGTCGGGGACTGAAAGTGGCAAAAACTCCTTGTATACATATATGTTTGTGCGTGTGTATTTCTGTAAATTTAATATTTCTTTTGTCGGTGTTATATATGTGAAATTTATGGTAAAAGTATGAATATGGATTTCCGCCCAAAAAAGTTTGGATTTGTGGGGAAAAAGTTAGACAACAATATTCCCGATTTGCTTAACTTCAATTTCCCCCTCTCCAGAGCCTGCCTGTCTGCTTCGAGTTAATTTTGCTAGGTTCAAATTCGCCTACTAGCCAGTTCTCTAAAGGAAGCTTTTAATACTACTTCTGTGACTACGAAATCTAGTAGATCAATAACTATATCTAAAGATGATTATGATAAATTCCTTTGCTACCTAGAATGTTCGAAGCATTCATCTACTATTAACTCGACGATCACTAATTCATGTATCTCAAACACATGTCTTGTTTTCTCATCTTCAAAATGGCTCATCGAATTGAGTGCGACAGATCATATTTTTTCATCATTTCACACAGCCTTACCCACTTCCAATATCATTTTAGCTGATTGGTTTACATCGCAAATACATGGCTCAGGTAACCATTACCCCAACATCTGCATTACTACTATCACATGTCATAGGTCTTTCCATTGTCACTTTCTACTTAATTGTGTCGTATCCTTTATCTAGATGTGATGTTTTTGAGGCCCTTTCGACGAAGCAAATTGGTGGTAAAGGATATGGGTCAGCTAGTTTCTACCTCTTGGGTACATCCGTATGCAAAGCTGTACTCTGTATTGGGGTAACAACTCCATTGGAGGCTCATTATTGTTTAGGACATCCATCTCTCTTGGTGCCTCAATTCCATAGCGTGTCATTCACAATGTCAATTGTGCCAGTTTTACAAACATCTTCGTGCTGGTTTGAGTTCTTGAGTCAATAAGTGAACAAATGCTCTTCTTGGACCTGTTCATTGTGATGCTTGGGCTGCATGTCTTGTTGCGTCTGAAGCTAGCTTTTAGTATTTTGTTACCCTTTGTACTTAAACTGAAACTCACTTCAATGTTTCTATTGGTACGATAAAGGGATAATTCCCAAGGTCCATGAATAGCTTTCCATGCCATTTTATTCAGATATCGTCCAATTCTGCATATTCATCAACCTTCATGTATAGACATGCATCCTCACGATGCGGCTGCTAAAAGGTAGAGACGGCAATCACTCATCTCTTCCAAGTACATGTGCCTAAACTGTTTTGTGGTGATGTTGTGTGCACAACATGTTTCTTAATTAACTGTACGCCCTTATTTGTTTTGGATGGAAACACTCTTTGAAAGTGTCTATTTTCAAATAAGGAGCTCTTTCCTATCTCGGCTAAAATATTTTGTTTCACATGTTTTTGTTAGGGATGTCCGCCCTCACTCTACATGGTTTGGCCCCAAATCATTAGTGTATTTTTTTTTATGTTACTCCTGATTCCAAACAAGGCACACATGTTTCTGTCCTATTATAAGTCAGTATCTTGTCTCAATCCTTGCCTCATTCACGAGAATCTATCAATTCCCTCTTCTAAGAGAGATTGTCGTGGAGAGAACGATGATATCCTCATTTATACTATTACTATACGTCTATACTTGGTTTGTGCCGTCCGCCATTATACCACCTTTTGCTGTGAATGTCGTCCCTTTCCCTAGGCCTCTAATACACTTGGTCTACTCTAGTCGAAATATATCATCTGATCCAGTATCAGCTCGGGTTACTTATCCTGATCTGGTCCTGATCTCATCTCATGGCCTCATGGGCTGATAGCTTCATCTTCACCTTCAGATCTAGTTCCCACTACTACTATTGATTTTGGTTTCTGAAAATCAAAGTGTAAAGGTACAGTCTTGTTCTCACCCTGTTCCAGTCGTATATATTTGTATCATATGGTCATAATGTCATATATCACTTGCCTCTAACTCTTTTGTTGCTTTTAATTTTTCTGTTCCAAAATATGTTAAAGAAGCATTGCCCTGTCTGGATGATTGCCATGATACAGGAAGTCAGGAACTGAATATTTTGAATTTTAAGGGTACTTGAACTTTGATAGATTTGCCTGTAGAGAACAGATTGATTGATGTAAGTTGGCCTGTATTGTGATGGTTGATCCAGATGGATTCATTACCCCCGTTGAAAGTTAACTGATATGCTTAAACTTAGTGTTAAGTATTCTGACACTTTTTCTCCGTTGACTATCTGAAATTTTCACACTTCTTCGGAGTCTTTGCTCTATCACAACCTGAATTAAAATTCATCCCAAAAAGGGAAGTGTAGCAAACAAAAGAATGTGGAGGGAGTATGTAATATCTAATATAATTTACAATACATTATTTCATCATATTTAAATTTTATTATACATGGCATGACATGTCGCTTAGGCATGCGCCTATGCGATATGGCAGTCAGCTGGCGCCACACCTTGCCTTGCCTTGCCGCGGAGACAACCATTGTATATATACTCTAACTTAAGGGCTTGTGAAGCATATGGTAAAAGTATATATGGTAGTATATATATCAGTGGTTCCAATAATCTCACTGTAGTTGCGCTATAACAGTTTAGCTGAGCAGCACCTGGGTGCTATAACAGGGTAGCAGGGTGGCACCTGGGTGCTACAAGAGCTTTTGTAGCAGAAATAGCGGGCACTATAGCTACACTATTGAATTTCTGAGTTGTTTGCACTAAGATTAAGGAACTTTGGTTTTTTAGAATTAAAGAACCCCACTAAAAACCCTCCCATGTACGTAAAGTCCATCCCATCCTTCTACATATCATTCTTAGTAATTTCTTCTCCGCTTCTTTGAAGACCAGTGTTATGGCTCAAAAAACTACATACCAAACCAGAAAATTTTCAACAACCAGAGACCTTGCTTATTCAACTACTTTCGACTGCTCCCTGTCATCTACGACTTTTCTTGTAGCTTGTTTACTTTGGAGCGTATTGGATTGTTAAAACTCACAGGAGATAACCTTTATCATGCTTGGTACTTGGTAGTAGAATAGTTAGAGTGATTTAATATGAATGTCATGAAGTTGGAGATATTGCATTATATTTTCCCTTTACATTTTATGGATTTGATCTGTGTATTGTATGTAATTATATGCATATATATAATTATGTATTCTACATTAAAGTTATCCAAATAGAGGTCATCCCGCTGTCTGCTATACCCCTATAGCATTTTTGGGGGAGGCTTCTCTGCTCCATTGATTCTAGGAGGACTGTTTCCTATAATGGTTTCATTGTTATACATATATTAGTGGCTCCTATGTTCCTATGATAATATATAAATTATTCTATCTTATTATATCTTACTTTGGACAGGTTTAATATATTTCCAAAATCCTGAAATATGTTTTGTTTCACTAGGGTAGTGCTGAGAGGCAAGTTCTTGTCAGGGATTATGAAGCGGGGAAAATGGTTGCTTTCGACCAAACAATTTCAAATTTGAAAGAAGTTTACACTGCCGATGGATTTAAAATGTAAGTTGATTTCTATTAATAGTTCGTGTGATTACTGTCTAAAGTAAATATGTGAAATGTGCTGATGCAATTGGCAAAATGATGGCTTAAATGTAGATATAACATGTGCAAAATGTTGGGTCGTTGTGAGATTGTCTTCGTCTTTTTCTTAAGCATATGTTCTTTGGGACGATGTTAGACGAATGCTTTTATATGGATACACGATATTATATAAGTAATCTTTGACTTTGTACTCACCCTCAAATATCTTTATGCCACAAGTTCAATGGTTATGTGTGATGTGTCTTGCTATACATTCTTCATTTAAAATGTATATATGAAGGCCTTACAGATGAAGAACCTCCACTCAAAGACTACTTTGGCTGTTTAGGAGTTCTATCCATTGCATTTAGGTCATTGTAAATTTTATCTTTGTAGGTTTTCCCGGGGTTCTGTGCAAACAATTCTTCCACCAATGAAGAATGCGAGAAGTGGGCGTCTTTGTGGTTCATTTGACAGTGACATAGAGAGTCTGGAAAAGGATGCATTACATTTCCAAGAACTGAATGAAAATTCTAAGGGTGCGAAGAGGAGACTTGATGAAGAGCTTAGAAGTCTTAATGAGAATATGCAGAGTGTCAAGGTGAGCTCCATGCGTACTAATTAGTACTTCCTTTGTCCCATTATGTCTGTCCCTTATTTCTCAACATGTCTGTCTCTTACACTATTGAGTCATGTAAATGTGGCTGATAACATCCTTACTTTACCATTTCAATATTAACCATAAATTCTGTGTTTCCTTAATTTACTTTCCTGTTTCACTTTCCTTTGTCCGGTACTTAGTGGGGCAGTGGTACTATTTGATTCTACTGTTTCAATCTTCCCATTACACAATAACTTAATCAAATAAATAATGTTGTGCACTTGTGTCAGGGGACAGTATTTTGCTCTTGACCTTATACACATAAAGAAGATCGAATATCATCCTATAGTAATAGTTCTTGTAACAAATATGAATGTTTGGGGATGGATACACTCAATCACTTTAATAGGCAGTGGCCGTTTCTATAATTCTATAAGTATACAGATGACAATTAACAGGATTTTCGATTCTTGTTTATAATTACTAGTAGGGAATAGTTATATATGCATATTTAATAGTTTGCAAGCATGGGCATAATAGGGGTCTTTGGGTGGTTGTGGACGCATAGATGACTTTTATCTAATAGTTCAACATATCATTGTTATACATGCATTCATTATTGGGGAGATAGATGCGAGGTGCATATGTATGTATATTTCATTTCTCCTATGGATATTATACATTGTTGAATATTTAATGGCCATATCCAGTTGATTGTTGAATTTGAAACATATCAAGTTTCATATTTTTATTGGCTACCCATTTCTGTTACCTGTTAGATGCCAACCATGACTGATTATTCTCTGACATAAAAATAGATTCATCACAATAATCCACGAGTTATCCGGTTTTTAGTCTAAATGAGTGATATACTTTTGATACTTGACAAAACTGTTTGCTCCTTTGGTTCATTCAGAGGAGGCGTGTTGATGCTGAGCGAGATTTGCGGTCTAAGGAATTCCGTTTGCAAGATGTTAAGAAGTCACGTTCTGCAGAAACTACCACAACGATTACGTCCAGTGATGAGCTTCTTCAAGAACAATTGGTCTTTCCTTGAAAACATTTTATCCTAAACTAGAAATCCACCATGTTGTTTACTTGCTTTAATTTTGTTATTGTTCTTTTGTTACTTGGACAATATTATTCTGATCTGGTGTTTTTTTGGCACTATTGTCTAGAAAATCATTGATGAGATTCAAGATGAGAAAAAGTCTCTGGAGCAAATCCAAGTGAGAATGAATGAAGCAGAAACCAAAAGAAATCATTTTAAAATGTTGCTTGAAAATATGTGTGGTATGCCACAAATTTTAGCTCTCTTTTGATCTCTTTATATCACAACATGCACTATGACTGCTTCAATATTGAAAATGCAGAGTCTGCAAAAGGAGATATTGATGCCTTGGGAAATGCAGAAGAGGAGCTGATGCAGATAGATAAGGATCTAGAAGATGCAAATACGGTCAAACTTAACCTCCATCCACCTTTTTTCTTGCTAAAAGTTTCCCCCAAGCCTGAGTTTCTTTGGAATTTACAAGGTGTTCTTTATTCAGAAGTACAAGCATTACAAAAACCTCATGAACACTAAAGTCTTAACTGAGCTTAAGGAAGTTGAAAAAGAGTATCAAGAACTTGAACATAGCCGTAAGGTATGTTTCTTTTACCATGTTTTTCCAAACAATAGTCAAGCTTCACACTGATATAATGCATTGATGTTTAGCTGACTTGACTGACCCATCCAGACCCTTCATTTTATTGCGCCACTACACTTCGTTCTTCTTTTTAACCTTGACTCTAAGGCAATACTCATTGTGATAAAGGTTTTAAAAGGCTAAAATGAGCATCGTGGCATTTTGCTTTAGCTTCACGAGAAGTAAGTTTCGAGGTGAGCCGGGCTTATTATAGTGTGAGGGAATCATATTGGAGTCCTAAATAATAACTAAGTACTGCATAATAATTAATAACAAATATAATTGCATAATAAAGTTGTAATTACGAATGAAGAATTGAAGAATGAAGATAACCAAATCTTCAAGCCAAGTAGTTTAAAACATGTAAAGTAATCACAAAGAACTTGAAAAGGAACTGGTACTGATCTTGCATCATGAAGAGAAGATTAATCTTTTCTTGTTATATAAGTTCTAAATTCATGGCTTGAACAGTGCAGGCCTGTGAATAGGAGACTCCCAGTTACACAGAGAAGAACAAAATAGCTAACTTAACATCAACTTTTCTAACTAGGGACTCGATGATATTGAAATCGCTTAACCAACTCAAAGCTCAGAGAAAACAAAGCCTTTATTGGGCCTGATCTGTGAAATGAAGATTTTAAAGATTCACACTGAACCATTTACTTGGCAAAAATGATGCTTAAGCCTTGAACAACTCGTGAGCCTTACACCTCTAGACAAAACGGTAGCCCTGTTTTGGTTCGCACTGATGCGCCCTTAGGCGTATGCCTCCTACCTTTTAGACCGTGATTGTGATAAAGTCCCTGCTAGGGTGCTTGAATTTCTACACATCCTGGAAACATATATCTCAGCTGGAGTACTATATAATTCTCTACTATCAATTAAACAGCTTTAGAGAGTGCATTGCGATACTTAATTACTTACTATAAATTAGGCCTTCACAACTTATTGGCAAAATTTCAGGAAAGCTACAGAAAAGCCTCTATCATATGTTCTGAGACTGATATTGAATCTCTAGGAGGCTGCAAAGGAAGTACACCAGAGCAATTAAGTGCACAACTAACAAGGCTAAGTAATAGACTCCAACAGGAGAGTCGAAGGTCTGGATCATAATATTTGTTCACTTTTTTCTTATGATGTCAGTTTAATGGTATGCAGACACAGTTCCATTTTGAAACCTTTCATACAGGCACTCAGAATCTATTGATGATCTGCGAGTTTTGTATGAGAACAAAGAGCGTAAGATATTTAAAAGGCAGCAAACTTATAAAGCACTCCGCGAGAAGCTCTGTGTAAGATCCACGTCCCTTATTATTTTAGGTCCATGCTTGGGCTGTGAAAACTTGCACATCCTTAATTTCACTACCTTTAGTTTTGGTTATGTACATTAGAAGAAGATATATTCAACTGGTATATAAACCAAATCAAACTAAACATACACTGTACAACCCACTCTAAAGCAGTAACATAACATGTACAAAGAGGTGCAATATGTAAATAGGCTGCATTTAAAGATTTATCTTTCATATATAAGAACCAGATAACATTACCACATGCTATCCTAGGCCCACAATTTAGTCTCAGAAACTGGCGCTGAGCTCTCCTTGGATGCTAGACTCGTTTCCCTCATATGCCCACCTATTTCCCTATTAATCTCATCTAACCCAATTAATCTTGGACTAGGCGCTAGGCTCCAATCTGCCGCCTAGCGATTTTCACAAAATCACTGATATATTCATATGGGTTGATAATTACCTTCTTTCAATTTCAATCTCCATTTTTTCTGTTGAGCCGTGCTTGAAACTCTTCTTTCACACTCTTCTTGAAATCTCACAAGTAGCTGCCACCATATTTGCCAACACGCTTCACTTTGTTGCTGCAAGCCTCCTTGGTGTATGTCACTCCAATCTCTTTAGTGAAGGACTTACCTCTAGTCCGATTGTCTCTTTCCGTTGACCCTATCTATTCCTATAAGTTATTTTCAAAACGTACAAATGATCATGTCATGCTTTCGCTCCACTTTGTCTTTTCTATGTATACACGGACTACTGTAGTGTGTAGTGACAGACTACTACGAGTTTTTTAACTTATTCGATTCTTACGTAGTGATAATTCTGTGGAATACTTTCTTTACCTTAACAAACCTAAAGTCTCTTTGGAAGTGACGAAGCTGGAAAATTTATAAAATGTGGTCTAGGTTGACTATTAAATTATATTAGAGTGGTCATTTGAGACAACGTTTTGAGTGGGGCTATTTTTTATTTGGGTTAGATGGAATTGGGTTCAGGTTCTCCTAAGAGAGGTGATCATTTGGTATATTATATGCTGAAAAGTTAAAACATTCAATGAGTGAATAAAAAATTGATTCTCAAAGTTTGCCTATAAGCTAGAAAATGAAGCTTGTATATATACAGCTCCCTATTACAAATAATTTGTATTACTACCTCCCCTCACTAAGACTCGGGCATGAGGAAGTGACACAATTATTTAGAAAAGTGGAATTATGTGTTTGATAAATCTATAAAGAACTCGATGGTTCACAGGATTCTGCATCGAGTGTCATTTTGTGTTTGATAAATTGCATTTTGCCGCACTCTTCATCTATGCAAGGGCCGATATATCTGTTTCCGAGAGTCATTTTGTTTCATAAAGATGCTAACAATGCCACATAATCGCGAATGGAGAGGGGGCAAGGTATCAATCTCAGTTTAGTAATCCTTGGCGCATCCCGCGCCGGGGGTTTGTTGTTCATCATGGTCGCACCCAAAATCACGTTCAAAATAGGAACGAAATTGGAACCACACAAGAAGTTCTAAACATGGTATGATTGTATGAGTTGAAACTTTGTGAGACAGACAAAAATAGTGGGACAGAGGGAGTTTGTTACAAGAAGGAAACAGTAGGCTTTGAATTGCACCTGCTCTGCATAGGCAGGTGCAAGGCCCACCTCGACCACCCTCCTTTCTTTCCTGCTCTCAGGGAATGTTACATCAGTAGTCTTTCAATGCATTTTTTTCATCGTTTCCATCTCTCATAGTATGTTACAAAAGTACATACATATTGAAAAACCGTTTATCCACTCATGTACCTCTGTTTAGGAGCCTTTAGGGTAATCATCAACCCCATCATGTTTACGAATGATGCAAAAACTGTTCTCTTCAGCTCACGATTTACCGTGGTTTCAAAATTCCACTTTGATCTTCTCACGAACAATTGCTTGTGTGCTGCTGGTTTACTGGTTTTGATGCCTGATGACTTTCAAATGATAAATAAATAGGGGCTATGAAAATTTGGGGAGTTTTCCTTCTCCTTGATTTCTTCTTAATTGTTCTTCGATATTTTATCTGTGTTGTAAGACCCGAACCGGACCGGACGGGTCGGACCGGAACCCGCCCACCCGGCTCCAAATCCGGTCCGGTTGACCTTCAACCCGCTAAAGTGTTAAAACCCGGAAAAAATCGGTGACTCGGACCAAACCGGGACGGACCCGGAACCACTGAAACTCGGAAATTAGCAAAAACCCGGACTTTGGCAAGACTTGCTGCACGCGTGGTTCGATCTCACAACCTCCGGGATGGAATACAGCCTCTCAACCAGTCTGCAACTGGAGCGTGTTGTTAACTCTTTCAACTTTGGTAGTAATATTACCAGTAAAACGTACCATTATACTTCCCACTTAAGCATTAATCAATTAGTTAACTTTCTTTGACCGATTAATTGTAAACTAAACCATTAATAATAAAAATAATTATGCAGACGCAACGTTATACTTCCAGTTATGGTCTACTTATGTCATATTACAATAATATAAGTGAATATATATTTCTATTATATTTATAAGATTTTATAATTGATTCCATGCTATATTTATTGTCCAATTTTGTTAAAAGACTTAAAATCAACTCTAAAATAATGATTTTTTAATTGAATTATATTGTATTAGCATTATTAAATTATGAAGGATTAAGATTTTTCTATTTATGAATTTAAACTTATGTATATGTATGAATATATGTGTTGACCGGGTTTCCCGGCGTTGACCGGGTTGACCCGTGACCCAATCGCTCGGCCGGGTCGTTCACCGGTCCGGTTTTTACAACATAGTATTTTATTAGCATAGCAAAGCTCCCTTTTATAAGAGTGACTACATGCACATGAATGCAGAAAACAAGGAAAGAGAAATCTAGAAAACTACTTCCTAAAATAGATTAAATAATGAAGGTATTAAAATCAAATCATAATAAAATCAATCAAGCAAATCAATCTGCTATTACTCCTCATTATTTTACTTGATCGCTCTTTTTATCTTTCCATAATATTATATTGTAGCATTCATCATTACACCCGTCCTGGAAAATCAAGTTTGCCCTATAGCTTGAAAACTTTAACTGGATTTTGAATGACTGCACCAGTAAGAAAGTGCCAGTGATCCTTGTATTCTTGAAGAAAATTGAAAGTCACTCGTAGTGGTGGACTGTGGCCAAGTTGATCATCCTCCATTAAAAATTCATTGGAAATTTGGAATACAATGGCAGACTGGGACAGGTTTAGTGGACCAAAACGGATTTGGGAAGTCTAAGAAGTTTGTTTTGGAAAGTTTATCGGGTAGGGCAGTCTGCAATATGGGTGTTGCGGACAGCATTGGATCTAGAAGATGCTGTGTTGGAAGCAACGCTAACGGCGGTTGAGGCAGATATTCTGTAGATAAAGTGTATACTGATGGGGGTGCTTCATCTCCTCCCAAGGAGTCCTCTGATTGGGAAAGGTTGGCAATCTGGTTAGAAAGTGTCTGTAGCGACTCCTTTAATGGTGGCAGTGCTTGCTGCACCTTTTGCACTGTACATTGCAGTTTGCGAATATGCCTTTCACCTATCAGTTTGTGTATCTCCTTTTGTATCTTTGAGAGGAGTGTGTACTGATCAGCAGGAAGTGTGAAATTTCCCATGACGCCAACAACGGAAACAAAATGTTATGTATTCGGATTCTTTGCGTCACGGGAAAGAAATATAAATAGTAAATGGATAGAGGCTATGGATAGAGGGATCACATGCATTTGAATCCAGAAAGCAAGGACAGGGAAAACCTAGAAAATCACTTCCTAAAATAGATTAAATAATGAAGGTATCAAAATTTAATCATAATCAAATTAATCAAGCAAATCATTCCACTAATACTCCTCATTATTTACTTGATTGCCCTTTTTATCTTTCCATAATATTATACGCAGGGGTAAGACTGTGTACATCCGACCCCCCCTTACCCCACCATAGGTGGGAGCCTTTGCGGCACTGGGGTAAATGATGATATATATATATATATATGCATCACCCACCCAAAATCTGTAGGAGACGGATTTGTTAGTCGGAACCATTGCTGCATATTATGAAGCTATCCTAATTCCTTAGGTTTATTTGCATTCAAAGAAATGGAAAGGGGACGTATTTGCTAGTGAATAACTGCTTTTATCTTATAGTTGCTTTATCATATTTGCTATGTATTAGCTACTGGTCTTATTTACATCTATTTCATAGAAGTTTTCTTATAATTTTATCGTTTTCATGTTAGGCATGCCGTAAGGCACTTGATCTAAGATGGAGTAAGTTTCAGAGAAATGCAAGTCTCCTGAAGCGCCAACTGACTTGGCAGTATGCCTTTTACTCTTTATCTTTCCATTTATTTCTCTTTATGTGCCCATTGTATAACTTATTCTTTCTGTATCTAAAATTTAAGATTTGCTGCAATTTTGCATACAGTATTTTTTCCATCATGATTTCGACTTTTCTTTTGCTAGATTTAATGGCCACTTGGGAAAGAAAGGGATTAGTGGAAAAATCATAGTTAGTTATGAGAAGAAGACACTTTCTGTAGAGGTGAGTTGGTTACTAACCATAATGTGTATCTACTCATACAATATGCGTGCAGGCTTGTTTGTGAATTTTTTATAACACTATAACTTAAAATGATTTAATACTATAAGTAACAAGTGGTGAGTTTGTTTTTATGTGTGATTGGACTTAAATACTACATTCTTTGCCCCCATTAAATATTCCCACTTTCGTTTCTAGCCGTTCCTAAATACTTTTCTATTTGCTATTAAAGAAATAATTGTGTGATTTATATTGATTCTTTTATTTAAATAAGTGTCAACCGCACACTTGCTTTCTTAAACTCGTTAGGAAGTCAATGGGAAGATTAACTAGCGAAAAAGTGAGTTCCTCTGTCTGTTGTGAAATATATTTGGGTTTGTCATGCTTAATTAAAATGCATGTGTCTCATACTCTCTCTCAAGATTTTTTTTTTTGTTTTAAGTAAGCTGTGTTTCGAGTGTTTCTGTATCGTTCATATTTACCAGGAATTCAGTTCCGTTAAAGTTTTGCACTATGGTTTGAAATTGTGTATATATGTATACTCCCTCCGGTCCCAAAAGAACTTCATAGTTTGACTTTACGGTTTTTAAGAAAGTGGAATTTTTTTTTTGACTTTCTAATTATGCCCCCCAAAAAGTAGATAAAGTGTAGTGGGAGAGAGAAAGTGGGGGTAGGTAATAAACTAAGGGTATAATGGTAACTTTATATTAAAGAGTTTCCAAAAATAGAAGTGTGAAGTTTATTTTGGACCTACCCAAAAAGGAAAGTGTGAAGTTGTTTTGGGACCGGAGGGAGTATATTTCTTGTTATGTTATGACGGGTTTACTGGGGCACCAGATGATGTTACATTTGCTATAGTAATTTATTAATCAAATTTCATCTTTCAACTTTTTTGTATTTCTCTTTTCCTTAACAGGTTACAATGCCTCAAGATGCATCAAGCAGTTCAGTTCACGACACAAGGGGGCTTTCAGGTTTCATTGTATCGTATACATTGCATATGACCTTGTGTAGTATTACTTTTACAAACCGTATGCATATGAGCGTGTGCAGTTGCGTAGCTAGAAAAAAATTAGTGTAGGCTGGTACAAAGAAAATTTTCTGATTATTTTACACTTTTACACATTGCCTAGGCTACAAGGAGCCCGCCTAGGAGACAATTTGTCGACTAGTTGCACATTGCGTAATACTTCGTATATTATATACACACAATTATATATAATATTCGGTTTAACTATATCTAATTTCTTACAAATTATATCATCATTATCATTACCCCAGTGCCGCAAAGGCTCCCACCTACGGTGGGGTAAGGGGGGGGTCGGATGTCTGCAGTCTTACTCCCGTACTAAAGCACAGAGAGACTGTTTCCGGATGGTGGATGACCCATAGAATATACTACCTAGAATAATATTCTTACAAATTATATAATATATAATATACTACTAATTGAATTGTATATTACCTAAAATTGAAACCACCAATTAATAATTTTCAACAAGTTTTTTGTAATGAGAATTAAGTTAAAAAATGTCTGTCTCAAATAAGCATTGAAAAAATCAAGCTACTAAGTTCTCAAAAATCATCAAGGACTTGATCTTCTCTAGGGCCCTCATTGCCCTGATCATCGTCGCGACTCGCGAGTAGGAGTAGGTTATTTTTGGCCATAGTCATCTTCAGCATCTTCATTGTTCATGTGCTCGTCAATCAACCTTTATGAGTTGGATGCACCCACATTAATTGATGCACCCACAACTTCATCAACTTGACTGCATAAAAGATCATCACCAGGATGAACAACATCTTCTTAACCCATTCATCGTTCCCAAAAACTTGGGAACGATGCTAGATGCTCGACCGCTTTCCTGCAAGGCTGCGACTGGAGCTGTATGTGGCACCGGTATGGCCTTCAGAAGTTCAGAACTTAGTTAGATGGTTGAGTTTAGGAGTCGTCAAGTAAGACCTGGGCTTTATTTAAAGTCCTAATTAAATTAGTTGCCTGAAATTTTGTTTCTAGATTCTAAATCTATTTTTCTTGGGCATGCAGTTTGGACTGCAAAGAAAAATTTGTCATGGTGACGCCCAGATCCTGTTTTCGCGGACCTGACCTGGATTTATAGGTTTTAGAAGTTAATTAGTTGTTAATATTAAGCCGTCGACCAAAACCCTGAGTCCTTCAACCTGTTCTCCAGGTCACTGTCATAGGTTGTGGCTGCTGGTCTACGTCAGCCTCCATATAGTCTGCTCATTGCCGTGTTCTGTGATATCATGGATCAATTCATGTTAACCGATCCCAAAATCCTTTGGGAATAAGGCTTGAATGTTGTTGTTGTTCTATATTATTTCATCATATTAAGTATATTATAATATTACACATGAAGTGACTTGCCGCCTAGTTGTCGCCTAGGTGCCGTGGCTCGCCGCCGTGATAACCAAGGTGGTGTGTATGTTATATGTGTTTGTACAACAAAAACATTCAAGCCTTAGTATCAAAACATTTTGATATCGACTAATATGAATCGATATGTGATATCAGAGTCAAAAGGAAAATGAAGAAAGAAAGATGGAAAGATAAAGTATGATAAAAAAGGTCAAGTAAAGATAAGATAAAGATAAATTGATAAAAAATGATAAAAAGAATATATAAAACTAAAAAAATAATAGGATAAAAAACATAAGAAAGATAAAGAAGATAGGGATAAAAAAGATGATAAGATATGACTCGTGATTCCCTTAATCCATGTCCGTTTGGGTTTTCCTCTCTCTCCGCCCCGCCTCTTCTCCACACCTCTCCACTCTTCTAAACAGGTGTATATATGTGTGTGTAATAGATATAATTGTATATATATAATTAGACTGAGAATAGTGATAGTTGATACTGCTGAAGAATACTGCAAGTGTAGCCTAGCGCTTCTATAGCCGTCTTAAGTGGGGCCCCATCCTTCACACTGACACTATAACTAGGAACAATAGTGTGGATGAAGCTTTTTTGCTTAGGATGAAGTCCATTTTTTCTGCTAGCTAATTTGCTTGTGACGATGTTCTTTCATGTTCTCTTACGCATCTAATCTGAAACCTGATGAACTTGTTAACACTTCACATCTGTTTTGTGGCTTTTTATGATGAATCAGGGGGGGAACGCTCTTTCTCGACTCTGTGCTTTGCACTTGCCCTTCATGAAATGATTGAATCTCCATTTCGGGCGATGGATGAGTTTGATGTATTTATGGTAAGATCTTCAAGACTTAGCTGCAAGCTCCCTTTTTATCTGTTTATTCAGATGTCCCTTTGTGACATCTTTAAATGCCATGAATATCACTTGCCAAAACCTCAAATTACGTTGATTTTTGTGTTATATCACATACTTGATATTGTGTTGGGTGATTCCCCAACTCTTAATGACTCGGAGAACTATCCAACAAAGTAAAATGACTAAGCTGACCTTGATAAGAACAAAAAAAGAACAATCAACGGTAACAATTGTTGCCCAGGCTTAAAGCTTAAACACCAACTTTATTCTAATGATAATCGATAGTTTGAATGACAGTTTGAATGACCCTTTGCAGGGTATAAATAGCCTACTACTTCTAATAAAGGTAGAACTCCTAATTAAAACATATTAGGAAACATAATTAAAATAGGAAATTTAATAAAAGGAAATAGACAAGTAATTAATTAAAGCTAAATAAAATAGCCAGCCCACGAAGGTGGGCTCAGGCCCGTCCTCGCCTACGGTAGACCAACAAGGGCTTGGGGCCCGGCTCTACCTTGGTCGCCTTCACCTGCTCCGTATCAGACCTCCATTTTTTGGCTGTTATTTACAAGTACACCAGAATTAATAGGGGGTATGGTTCTCATTTTGTAACAATATTCTTGATCACCCTAAGGGCCTAAACCAACAGTTTAACCTTAACAGACAAATGGAGCAACATTAACATTTGATTTTCCTTAATTTTGAGTGAAATTTACTTTAATATTCGGATTTGTAATGAAATTAGTTCGATAGAATCTTCTATGGAGAAAGCGGTTTTGGAACTACATGTAGAGCCGTCAAAATGGGCCATAACCCGTGGGCCAACCGCCAACCCGTTTAAACCCATTTATTGGTGGGTTAGGGTTGTGAATTTCTGTCCCATTTAGTTCGCGAGTTTATGTGGGTTGGCCCAACGGGTTGCAGGTTTAAGTGGGTTGGCTCAACAGGTTGCGGGTTGGCCCGCGGGTCAATACACAAACATATAATTGTGACTTATTATCTTCAATATTGTTCTTTTACTACCAAAAATATTATTATTACAATTAAAAAATTACAACAATTGCAAAATAATTATTATTTCTATAATAAATGTTCAAATAAAATGTTGAAACATATATTTTATGTGAAGTTTGACACAATATTTGGAAATTTAGGGGTGAGCATTCGGTCGGTCGGTCAAATAACCGACCGATAACCGACCAATGTTTTTTCCTCTCATAACCGACCGAAAACCGACCGACAACATTACAAAAACCGACCGAAAAATGTCATTCGGTTTCGGTCGGTAACCGAATAACCAAACATAACCGTCTAACCGACGAAAACATATATTTTTCAAAATTATAAAAGTTGTAGATAGCACATTAATAAATAAAATAATAAATAACAAAATGGATTCAACATATTTAAATGTAAATAATTGTTCTTAGCACAATACGATTACAAAAACTAAAAAATCCCACGTTGAAACTACTTCATTGTTCCACAATTGTCTTTTTCAATATGAAAACAAAATAAAAAAGAATATGTTAGCAAATAAATAAGCTAATATCTTATTAATCTTTACACCCCAAATGAGCAAACCCATCTAAAAGTTTCTGAATATTTTAAATCCCACTATAGAAAAAATTAAAAATCAAAAGATCTGCCACGTTGAGTAAGATAATAAAGGATCTAGAAAACATTAAAAGAAAAAATGTGTGCAATTTCGCAACGATTAAATAAGGATTTCGGTTGATTTTTCTTTACCAAGGTTGATTCCTCCAGAACTAATGAAGGTGTACGTGGAGGTTTGAAATTTTGAACAGGGTGTTCCATGAATTGATTATAAGAATACAAGTTAAAGAAATGGGGAAGTGGATAATTGAAGAACGGGCTCCATAGCATTCCACTTATGAGTTTTGTAGGTGGAGTTCAATAGGCGTGGGTTGGACTTCATATTTCATTACTATGGAGTTCTTTTTTTATCGTTACTATGGAGTTATTAATTTATTTTGGAGTATATTAATTATATTTACTTAAATATTTACAAAAAAAAATAAAAAAATTAAAAAAAATCGGACGGTGATCGGTGACCGACCGATAACCGACAAATAAAACCGAATAACCGAATAACCGATTATTTTTAATTTATGATAACCGATAACCGACCGAAAACCGATTTTTTCGGTCGGTTCGGTCATCGGTTTTTGGTCAGGTCGGTTGAATCGGTTATTTGCTCACCCCTAGGAAATTACTAGTCATGATTTACAAATAATCAATCAACAGGTTTAAATAGATCTTTACTTTTATACAATGAGTATTTTTGTTATATAACCTCTTATAGTTTTCAAATTTTCATATAACTACTATTTAATACTCGTAGTATTTTTTTAATTAAACTCAACAAGTATTGAGTTCTTAGTATTTTGATTTCTTATATTTCCCTTATTACTACTTACTAATATAAATATATCCTCCAGAACAATTATTTTTAAAAAATCTTTTGTCATTAATTTTTTACTTTGGCCCGCGGGCCGACCCATTTAACCCACGGGTTAGGTGGGTCGGGTTATGGTTGTAGAAATTCTGGCCCGTCACTAAACGGGTTGGCCCGACCCAACCCACATAAAGCATAACCCGTCACGGGTCGGGTCGGGTTGACCCGTTTGACAGGTTTAACTACATGTACATCATCATCATCATTACCCGATTGGAACTACATGTACATCATCATCATCATTACGCAGTCTTACCGTTGTACTACATGTACATAAATCCTCACAAATTATTACTCTACTAACAATTATAAGGTCATTACTTTTTATCTATGAAACATGAAAACTCTCGGGAAAGAGTACATTTTTCGTTTCGGAAACTCTTCAGAAATTCTCTACATAGTTGTATTTCACTAAAAGATGACGTTTCCCGTTTCCCCGGGATTTTTTCGTTTCCGTGCAACATAGCTTTTTGTAGGGTAATCAATGCTCTACGTGAATACATTGTGATTCATGTTCCTCTACTTTTTGCCCAATCTGAAATGTTTTTGTTCATTCATGAAACGTGTATTATTATCATCCTAATTGTTAACGTTAACTGGAAAAACATAATCATCAAAGTTTCAACTTTGACAGATTGGAACTTTGCTATAAATTGTCTATTCTCTATAATATACTTGAAAAAAAAGGTTGTGAAAGATTCTGTTTTTAAGTAACTATAAAAATTGGCAATGTTTTTCTGCACTTGAAGATTAACTAAAATTTTCAATCCACAATCCATTGCTTTATCCCATGGTCTGTAGGATGCGGTAAGCAGAAAAATCAGCCTAGATGCTCTTGTTGACTTTGCTTTGGTTCAAGGATCTCAGTGGATTTTCATTACACCTCATGATATCAGGTATTCGAACACTCAAATCTGCATGTTCATATCCTACCATTTCAAACATTTTGTTTTGAAAATATAATGTGTTGATATAGATAAACTGTGTCCCTCGAAACATTTCCTAGTATTTGACGTTCACGGATCTTCAGAAAATCATATTTTTTCTTAGACTTCCAGAAATTCGTTTTGTTACTGAAGTAAATATTACTGTACACTGCATAATTTGACCGTACAGCTGGTGTTAGCTAGTGTTTGCAACATAATTGGTTATTGTTTGAGGTAGATTGGTAAGATCTTGTTATCAAATAAGATAAAAAGATGATAAAATAGGGATGGGTGGAGTATATGCTTATATTTGATGATTATGACTTGAGTTATCCCCCGTGGTAATATTTGTTTATACTGCTATTTTATTTTTCAGTATGGTTAAGCAGGATGAGAGGGTAAGAAAGCAGCAAATGGCAGCTCCGCGGAGTTGACCACTCTCTGTAAAGCTTCACGTCTACTTCCATGTTGTGAAGTGCTTCGTTTGGAAATAGCCAATTTTTTACTGAAAGTCTTAGCATCTGCTGCTTGATAACTTGCATTTTAACACATTTTCTTAAAATGATCGTGTAGTTGTGGAAACCAACCAAATATATTTAAAATTCTGTTTATATTGATGTGCATCGGATTGAGTTTTTGTTTGTAGTTTGAATTGTTTTTGACCTTTAGTCTTGCTGATCCCTCTTTTGGTGTAAACACTTGTGTCGTTGTGTGGCTTGCCAATTAAATTCAAACACTGAGCAGGTTGAGCAGGGCTTGTGTGAGTGGGGTGGGGGGGGGGTGGGGTGGGGGGGGGGGGGGTAACTAACAAAAAACACTAGATAATGCAGGCAAGCAAGGTTGGACCGTTGGATGAGTTGAACATGGTTTGGAATCAGACCCAAATCGTACCATGAATCGGTCCAAAATGGTTTCGCTTCCTCCAAAAGACGATATAAGCTAGGCATGGGATTGGTTCGGTTCTTGTTAAAATTCGATGGAACCGTATAAAAATCGTAGGAGTTAAATTCGGTTCGGTTCTAATTAAAAATGTAGTTAAATTCGGTTCGGTTCTAGTTAAATTCGGTTCGGTTCGGTTCTTTTTTTGGTTCCTAACAAAAATTCACTATCCTCCTAAAATGAACACATTTCAGTCACATAAAAAATTCAAATTTTAAACCACGAAATTATGCTCATTACATTATAAATGCATGATATCTCCAAAGTAGTGCTGGACTCGGGCCGGTTCGGGCCCGGTTCGGGCCTGGGCCCGGCCGGGCCTCGGGCCAGGAAAGGGGAGGCCCGAGCCCGAACCGCCGGTGGCCGGTTCCGGTTCCGGTTCCGGGCCTAACCGGGCCGGGCCGGGCCAAACCGGTCCAATTTTTTTTTTTTTTTTTGGTTCTCCTATTTAATCCCCTACCCCTCCCCTCAACCCCAAACCACCCCAAATCACCTCAAATGGCCCAAAATAACTATTCCAACCCAAGACTTAAAAATTTTTTCAAAAAAAAAAAAATAATAAAAATCCAGCCCGGACCGGGCCCGAACCGGCCGGGCCGGTTCACCATATGGAAGGCCCGGGCCCGGAACCGGGAACCACCGGGCCACCGGGCTGGGCCGGTTGCTACAGTGGCCGGGCCGGTTCCGGGTCGGGCCGCCCGGCCCGAGTCCAGGCTTAATCCAAAGACATATCCAAGTACAATATTAAATTTAAACATAATAAAAATCTCGATTTAAAATAGGCATTAAGTGTCAAGCAAAAATGTTCAATAGCCCCAGAGTACACATCCAATAGTAGGTAGTTTAACTTCAAAATAATATTCTTCTTCTAGTAATGCACAATAAGCAAAAACTACGTAGTACGGTAGTAATAAACAACGTGATCAACAAAATGTTAATTCTTTTTTGTAGTGAACTCTAATAACAAATTTAATTACAAACAAAAACTAAATATAAAAATGGACTAAAGTATTAAAACGATAACTACTCAGATTGGCGTGGTACACAATATATAAGGTATATTATGCAAGAATAATATTCTTGACAATAACTTTTTACCCGGAACGCCGTCTGACCGCCTTCATTTGAGGTACTTCTGTGAAGATTTTTTTGATAAAGTTTTGTGAGCATGTTCTACATGAAATGATGAAATGTAGATTAGATATTTTGGCTTAAAATTCAATCGGAAAGTGAGTTAAATAAAATATTGAAAACATTGCGTTTTTTTATATATTTTGGCGTAATGTTTTTCAATAATTTATTTAACTAACTTCCCGATTGCATTTTAAGCTCAAATTTGGTGGATATAATCTTTATTTAATAGAAAACAACCTCACAAAATTTCATCGAAAAATTCCACCCGTTAACACCTCAAATGAAGATTACTCATGCAGTGTATGAGAAGTTCGGTTCCTGGCCAGGAACCGGAACCGAACTGGAACCGAACCGGAACCGAACCGATGAAAGACTATAGGAACCGAACCGAAAAAAAGTGAAGTCCAAAATTATAGGAACCGAACCGAACCGGAAATTTCGGTTCGGTTCGGATCGGTTTTCCCGGTTTTCGGTTCTAAGTCCCAGCCCTAATATAAGCTGATCTAGGGTGGATTGGGACTAGGCCTGTCCTGAACTCGGGCCGGGCGGCCCGACCCGGAACCGGCCTGGCCCGGTCCACCGGCGGTTCGGGTCGAACCGGCCCGGTGGTTCCCGGTTCCGGGCCCGGGCCTTCCATATGGTGAACCGGCCCGGCCTGTTCGGGCCCGATCCGGGCCGGAAATAATTTTTTTTTTTATTTTTTTTTTCGATTTTTTTTTTTAAGTTTTGGGTTAGATTAGTTATTTTGGTCCATTTGAGGTGGTTTGGGGTTGAGGAAGAGGGGTAGGGGATTAAATAAAGAAGCCAAAAAAAAATAGGGCGGGTGGCCCGGCCCGGAACCGGCCACCCCCGGTTCGGGCTCGGGCCTCAATATTCTGAATCGAGGCCCGGCCGTCCTGAGGCCCGAACCGGCCCGGTTCAGTCCAGCACTAATTGGGACGGGTCGAGCCTCAGACCAGGCCCGGGCAGCCTTCTGGACTATGTAATTCAGGCAAGGTATACTGGCCTGGTTTGTACCAGTACCGGACCCAAGCCGGGCCTAAACAACACTGGGCCGGGCCTGGACCCGTTTACTTAATTTTTTTTTAAAAACAGTTGCCTTTGGGCCTGGAACCCGTCTCAGGCTGGGTTGGGCTAGACCCAAACCCCCCTTACCCACCCACCCCAACCCCCCCCCCCCCAAAACACCCTGGTGACCCAGCCCAACCCATGGGAAAGAAAAAAAGAATTGAAAAAACCCAAAAAAAAAAATAGGCCCGAACTGGGCCTGGCCGGGCCTGTTCGTATTTCCCTTAGCCCGTACCCGCCCCGGTTACCCCCCATAAACCGGGCCTAGACCCGGAACAACTTTAGGTTGGGCCCACACAGTATCGGGCCGGGTGGTCCACACCAAGTCCAAGCCTAGCATAGCACAACACGGAATGATATGATACGATACAGTACAATATCATAGGGTATTGTAGGGTATGGTATGACATAATATAATACAAGTATGATATATCTAATGTGATATGATATCATATCATATGACATGACATATCATATAATATAAAGGAAGGTTCTAGTAAGAACTACTAAAATGACAATTCCGTATAATGAAAACAATTAATCTCGACGTTTCATTTATTACAATCATTGGTTAGGATTCAAATTGGGTCATATTTATAATTTTAAAATAGGGTTTTTCAATTAATCCTAAATGTTTACAAAAATTTCATCTTGTCATTATTAATATTATAAAAATGAATAATGAAGATTATGTTGTAAAATCCTGGGAATAACATGTGTGTGAATTATTCATCCTTGTAAGCAGCATACTCATTAGGACACCAAGCTTTTCCTGATCCTTGTAATGATCCTTGTAACCTAGTTAGAACAGGTGGTTTAATATGCTATTGCCACCAAATCTGTAGACTCATCAAATAAGTGACTCATCATCAAGCTCAACCAGTATAAATAGTGGCTTGATGAGGTCTTGTAAATTAATTCAAGCAATTCAGAGAATTCATAAATTTTAGAGATTAAGAAGAAGTTATTTAGAGCTTTTTAACAATATATCTATCTCTTAAAGTTGTTTTTCATCTTCTTCATTTCACAACACGTTATCAGCACGAAACTGCTCAAATATCTTCAAGAAATCATCATCTCCTGCAGGTATTAACATTAATATATGTTATCTTCTTTTTATATTCAGAAAAATATTCTGATTTTTAAATAAAAATCATATACGAATAGAAAATATATATGGATAACATGCATACCTGGATAACTAGTTTCTTTCATTGATCTTGATACACTCTCGAGTCTCGGTCAGTAAAAGAAAAAAAATGTCTTCGTAATACTTTTTAAGATACTCCGTAACTAATACTACATGCGTATAGTAATATGCAAAAGAAAGAAAAAGGAGGATAATAGATATGTACTTAGTATTACAAAAGAGGAAGCACTATAAAATGATAATATGACTTCGAAAAGAAAAGAACAAGAATAAGCAACAGAGATGAAATGGCTGGGATATTAGTAGTATGAATTCTATGGGGTAATATATTAAACCTTGTCACGGGAATACTGCACTTGCTTTGTCGGTTATTTATCCGATTGTCAGAAATTAGACAGCACATAAGTTGTCCACTAGGTTGATTCCAATCTGTGTAAACGGTAAACTACGTACACTTGGGAGAAACGATCTTAAATATGATAAGATCACATGTATGCTATGATAAATAAATTAATATTATAAAGAGTTCTAGACTATTCAAATATCACCTAGACTATTTACGTGGTCAGACAATTTTTACATGTATACAGTTCATTTTTGTAGTTTTTCATTTTTATGACACGTATATGCTAACAAACAAATATAAGAGGTGTCATGAGAGGTTTAAACAAATAGCCCGTTTTAATACTAAAAGTAACGCAGGTCAATATTTCAAATTCAAAAATATTGACTACTTGACTCTGAATGAATATTTGGCCTTTTAATTTGACCTTTTAATTCGGCCTTTTAATTCGGTTTTTCAATATTTCTACTATTTATAATTAATACGAAATAGTCAAACTTCAATTTTTATTACTAACTCACGTAACTATAAAGTTTATCAAATACGTAGTACTACTAGCTAGTAATGCTTGAAGAATATATACACACACATTTGTATAGTTTTACGTGTTCTCATTAAATCAATAATTTTTGTAGTCCAAAATGGCCAACATTAGCAAAAGAGAATTTGATGTTCTTGATCTGTCCGGTCAAAAATATTTGGAATGGAAAGTGGATGCTTTAGCACATTTAAAGGCCAACGGTCTGGAAGACACTATTGAGGCAAATAAGCCCTCATCTTCCCAAGACAAAGCGAAAGCTATCATTTTCCTCCGTCATCACCTCCATGAAAGTCTCAAATCTGAATATCTTTTGGTTGATGATCCAAAAGAATTATGGGACAATTTACAAGAGAGGTATGGCCACCAGCAAAAGGTACTTTTGCCAAAAGCTCAGTATGACTGGATCAATTTAAGATTCCAGGATTTTAAATCAATCAGTGACTATAATTCTTCCATGTTCCAAATAACATCTAAACTAAAGTTATGCGGACAAAAAGTCACTGATGCTGATATGTTGGAGAAAACCTTTTCTAC